TCAAATTTCTTTAATTCAACATGTTCATGCAACCACTTAAGGCGTAGCAAGGATTTGAGGCCGATGTAGGTTTTTAACGCAATTGTAAATACCTCAAAGCTCGATTGTTCCTGAGTGTCATATTACTTTTTTGTTCTTTCAGTCTTAATAAAGCTTGTGATAGTTGAAAAATAATATGCACATGATATTTATTGAATATTACTGATGTATACGTCATTTGTGTTACTGATTTAAACGAATACTCAAAGTCGAGGATATCTTGTTCGTGCTTTTAAAGTTTGCCTGCACTGAGGAGCATTGCTAGGCTCGCCCAAAACCATTAAAAAACTGGCTCAAAAAAACTCAGCGAAAAAGACATAAACTTGTTGAATAACAAAAAAATTTGCAAGAAAAAAAATTAAGCTCTCCATGTCTCGTAGTGATACGTTAGTTATTTATTTGTTGTTAACATAATTGGAGCAATGAGCTGTTAAATAGATTAAGGTCAATGGTAGATAATGTACATATCAAATTTGCTAAATAGTATTTGTCTAATGTAAACAAAAGAGAGCTCTAATTGAGAGAGCATTGCAAAAATAAAGAAAGCCCTAATAGCTACGAGCTCCGAAACGAGTGATTGATATATAAAAACTCACCTTTATTCAAAGCTTGGTTCAGACTCTAAAGAAGGGGTAACCATCACGAGCCACTGTTACATTCAGTTAAATACGACATCAGTCAAGTTAAATACAATACATCTTGTATTCTAATCGACAATAGCCAGCAATGGTATATTATATGGTGACATATAGTGGGTAATGTTGCTTACCTTCTACGGGAGTAGCAGCGGCACAACAAGCGAATTTTCTGCAATTGCATTTAAGAGACGACGCTCTAAGGTTCTACCAAACGTTGCCACTATTGACGAGAGCGGATGTTCTAGCCAGTCTATCAGCCTTGGGAGATCATTACTGCTACCCGCAATTGCAAAAAGTGCATGTGCCGAAACTGGAACAGCTATGAATCGATCCGAAGAAGGATACACCAGAAAACTATCTGGTAAGTCTGACAAAAAAGGCACAACGAGCCAATCCAACACCCGATTTACTGGCCGTCACGCCAATCGATGCTGCAGCAGCCGATGCGGCAATCGAAGCGGCCCGCTTGAATAGAGAAACGGGCCAGAGAGGATCCATGCTGTAAATGACAATCAAGTGAAGAAGGAATGCCGGGATGGCTGCGATCTAAAATGATGGAGCAACGCCTGCAATCACTGTTCAAGAACTGTGAAATTTGGCACCTAAGCAAATGACAACAAGGGACGTGTGCCGAAATGAAGATTACCCGGAGGACGGCTTAAACAAAGTTAGCGAAACAGTCTCACAAAATTTGAGTGCCCCAACAAAGTTGACCACCACCCAGGAAAAAATGTAAAAACAGCTCAATGAAGTATGCAGCCAGCTGACGGATCAGAGGAAGCAGTTAAATCAGTGCCCAGTAGAGGAGAAAACCACTGCAAAATCCTCAAAAGTATCTCCAGAACTGCAACATTTTAAACACCCCAAAGGGAACAGTCCCGAGGTGGAAAGCCACCCAAGCAACGTAATTGGTCCGTTCAAAATCAATGTAATTGGTCCAGACGTAACCGTTGGGAACTGGTCTGGCGGACAACGAAGAAAGGGGAAAAACTAGCAACCGAGATACGGCGGTGGACTTGGAAACCAGGCGTTTCAACAAATCAACCCGAGTGATAACCAACAAAATTCTGGATTCCAAGTCCATCAATACTCGTAACAGTATCTGCCACAAATGCAACAGAACACTCAAGTTCAACAAAATCCTTAGTTTCAACAAACCCAAGGTTACTCGCAACGGCAGCAAAACCAGCAGCTGCAACCGATGGGTAAAAAACAAAACTTCCCCTTTCAGACAGATCAAAAAACTGATCAAGCCACTAAGTCAGTCAGTCAAATCACGCAAATAAAAAAATCATGTTAACCATTATCGTTGGCCGAAACACCGGAACACGAAATCCTGAATGGATCACCGGAACACGAGATCTTAAAGAACTCAAGAGCGAACAAACGTTTTTTAGACCGAGGCAAGAAAAAAATCGAACTTAAGAAAAGTTAGAACCGTTGGCGGACAGCTCGTCTCCATAGAAACTGAAATTACAGTTGAGTTATGGATGGCCGATGTGACCTTCACGGAAACTTTTCTCATACTTAACGCAGCGAACTCGATTATCCTTGTGACCCTTTCTTCAAAAGCATGAAATCCAAGTATGTCCCAAGTACAATCTCGAGTTCCCGAACCTGACGCTCCAAATTAATAAAATCAAACCGATAAACTGACACTCGGTATTGACAGAAGATCAAAAAGCACAAGTAGATGATTTACTTATCGGGTACTGTGACATCTTCGCCGAACATAGATTTGACATAGGTTATAACTCCGAGTTGAAGATCAAATTGACACCGGAACACCAGCAACCTTTGTATACACAAGGACCACCAACACCAATACACTTCAGAAGTGAACTAACTGTGGAATTAGCACTAATGCCTTATTTTGGACTCATAACAACACTCCCGCACTCCAAATATAGTAGTATATTGTTTGCATATCGAAAACCATCTGGTAAATTGCGGATGTTGATCGACCTTAGGCGGATAAACCATTCAATCAAAACCGACTATATAACTGCAGCTTCCCAATTTCAAATATGACTGATGCATCTAACCATTTCGCCGGAAAGAGCTTTTTTACCAACTTGGAACGTTCGCAAGCATAACACTGTGTTCAAATGCCAGATGACCTTTCAGTCCTTGGCATTCAGTTTTGGGTCGCGAACCTAGGCAAATAAATGCCTTGCTCAGGGGCTAAGTAAATCGGTCAAAGGATTTAGTTCTTTCATTCGCCACTACCTTGATCCATGCTTAGCGACAGATCTGTGTTGTTTCGGGTCGAGAACCTATGCATATAAATGCCTTGCTCAAGGGCTAAGTAAATCGGTCAAAGGATTTAGTTCTTTCATTCGCCACTACCTTGATCCATGCTTAGCGACAGATCTGTGTTGTTTCGGGTCGAGAACCTATGCATATAAATGCCCTGCCCAAGGGCTAAGAAAATCGGTCAAGGGATTTAGTTCTTTCATTCGTCAATACCTTGATCCATGCTTAAAGCTCTGTAGTTTTTGAGATATGACGTTTTTATGATTTTAGAAAGTTTAGTTTGAAGTTTCACATAATCTGAATTTCACAACGCTGTAATAGGGTACTGTGAGATTAATCTCAGGAGTTGCAATTCTTGCGTCTAGATGCGCTTGCTCATTTGTTTTTATTTTCCCGATGTGACATTTTTTCATGTCATTTAAAAAAGAACGAAGATAACAATTAACATAATTTGAAATTATCAACCCTTTTATTGGGTGCTGTCAGAGTACACTCAAAGGATGCATATTTTATTTCCAGTACATGCGGTTTTCTTTAGTGTTCTTAAAAATTCTAAGCACCAGAGGTGCGTTATACGCTAGATATACCGATTTAGTGGCCTCCTGTTGCCTGGTTTGATGAGAAAAATTTCTTTTCCTCGTATATATTTTGAATGAGCGGGGAAATACATATATATTTTTTGAGGTTTTAAGACTTTTGTATGAAAAGTTTTTCGGCTCAAAGGGTTTCTATTTTTCGGCTTTGTTAACTTTTGGTAGGTTTTTTCCAAAACTAGTTTCACATTTAGTTGTCTTGGCATGTTTCTGTTCGAAATATTTTTTGTGCATCGCCAATCGAGACAAATTATCTTCACTTAGATAGATCTTGATTTTTTGACCTTTTCGATGTTACGTCGATTTTTTGGCACTAAGCATTTTGTCTCACTTTTTTAAGCGTTTTTGCCCTGCTAACTTTTTTTGTATTAAGAGCTTAAATGGTTTAAGGACAATTTATACTAATTTTGCGTCGTTTGAAGAAAAACGTACTTTTACGCCACCTCCAGAAACGTGCCAGAAATGTAATACAGTGCTGATTTAAATTAACCGGACAAAACGTGTTAAATTTGAAATTTAAAACCCGTTTTTCTCAAATTGGGTTGAGTTTAGGAGAAAAATTATGAAGACAAAACTTGCTTAAATTTTTAGCAGAATTATTATGGTGTAACTTGTTTTGCGAAGTTCGGTCCCAAAATTTTACCCCAAAAATGAGTCATTTTGGCTTTTCTTAGTTAATTAAAAATTACGCCAAAAGTACCCATTCGATCACAGCCATAAGTATATCAAAATGAGCCCCTTACGTAGCCCAATAAACTTTGAGAAGGTTATATTCTTCAAAAAAAATTGCAAACCGTTTAAAAATTGTTTTTAAATAAAAAATTGGTATTTTATATAGTAAAAACGACCTTTTTTGTCTATCAAGCAAAAATAAATTAATTTATACAATGTTTTGGAGAATATACCCTTCTTAAAGTTTATTGGGCTACGTAAGGGGCTCACTTTGATATACTTATGGCTGTGATCGAATGGGTACTTTTGGCGTAATTTTTAATTAACTAAGAAAAGCCAAAATGACTCATTTGTGGGGTAAAATTTTGGGCCCGAATTTCGCAAAACAAATTAAACCATAATAATTCTGCTAAAATTTTAAGCAAGTTTTGTCATCATAATTTTTCTCCTAAACTCAACCCAATTTGAGAAAAACGGGTTTTAAATTTCAAGTTTAACGAGTTTTGTCCGGTTAATTTAAATCAGCACTGTAGTGTCAGGAAAAAAATAAAAGTGTCAGAAATGTAGAACTTCGTGTTCAAGTTTTGTTTTCGCTTAAAACGATTTCACAAATGCTGTCGGCTTAGTTGCAGCCCGCTGCTGAATGCTTGCTTCACAACGACAATTGTATAGCTAGACGTTTTTTTCTTAAAAATGAGCATTTTACGTGACAAAATTCTAATTTATTGTAATTCTGGTTTTCTAATTCTGGTTTTCTAATTCTAGTTTTCTAATTCTAAATTCTAATTTTTTGTAACTGTCAGAATCGGATTTTGGATTTGAGATAGATGTTTTTCAGTCAATAAATGGGGTTGCTTTCTTTCCTCCGGAAGCTGCAAGGGGGCAACGAAAGAGAGTGTCGTCTGCTCCTGTTGGGTCTGGACAACGCAGGCAAGACCACAATTCTCAAGTTTGTGGCCAACGAAGAACCAACAGTCACTCCAACACAAGGATTCAATATTAAAAGCGTTCAGAACGGGAACCTAAAAATGAACGTTTGGGATATCGGCGGACAGCAGAAAATCAGGCCGTACTGGAGGAACTATTTCACAGATACAGATGTCCTCATTTACGTCGTGGACAGTCATGACACCAGACGACTGGAAGAGGCTTCTACGGAGTTCCACGACGTCCTATTCGAAGAGAAGCTAAAAGGAGTGCCGGTGCTAGTGTTCGCCAACAAACAAGACCTACAGGGAAGTGCGCCGGGATCTCGGGTTGCTGAAATCTTAGAATTGACCACTATAAGAGACAGAGTCTGGAATATCCAGCCATGCTCGGCACTGACTGGCGAAGGTGTGAAAGATGGTATGGAGTGGGTGATGAAAAATGTCAAGGCTAAATAAGCCTCAATCGGACTGTTAGAATAATGGGTTTTTGTTAGCCTCTTATTGTTCACTTTGTTCACATGCTGCAAGCAATATCAAAAGCTCAAATATCAGAAGGACTTTTGTAGTTTTCGTTTGTTTTTTTTGTTCGTAATACTTAATATAAAGATATGCAATACAAATTATGAATTTTTAGTTTAACTTTGAGGTTTGCCGACACAACTTGATGATGAGCTCTATAAGATAACTATCAATAGTTGAGTCGCCTAGCTCTCTTTATTTTTCCTTATTTAAATTGTTCACGTTTGTGTATATCATTTTGTTGAACTGTAAATATCGTTGTAGCATTTCTTAGTGATGAATATCATCTGATGAGTTATGTTGCATAAATATATGTAATTATTGCATTTACTGAAGTAAATGTACATTCTATGTAAAAACTACGTCTCAAATGAATCCACATATCTTTGCTAAGAATAAACATTACACGGCTGTTTTGAAGACTCATTGAAAGATCGTACTTAAAAAATCCAATCATACAAAGATCGGATCATGTTTACTATTCCCCCCCCCCCTTATTGCAATAGGGGTAGGGGGGATAGTTAATACAAAACCAATTCACTTGAGCATAAATGATATATGTTTTAATAGGGGGGGGGGAGAGATTCTTTACAAGGTACCATAGGGGGGGGGGGGGGGGATAATTAACATGATCCCAAAGATCCAATCAAACAAACATCCAAGCTCACGAAATCAGTGTAAAAAACCGAATGCTGCCTTAGTTAAAATTTTGAAACAACACATCCATTAGGGCTTTTTTATGTTGAACAAATTTAATTGACCTGAAGATGTTTTCATACAAAATTTAAAATTTGATTAAGTATGAAAACATCTTCAAGGTTTCGTCTGTGATTCGGATCTTGCGTTATATTTTTCAAGATTGGATTGATAGCGTTCTTTATTCAGGATTTAGACTGTTTTTCTTTAAACAAATTTGTTACCTCGGTGCACTTGGCTTGTCAGATGCATAGAATGTAAGTATCTTTCAGAACAATTTAACTTTCTGAATTCTCAGGGGAAAATAAAAATTACCTATGAATCCTGATTTCTCTAAATAGAATATTGAAAAAAGCGCCCATCAACAACTAGTCTTGAACGTCAAGAACTTTTAACGTGATATTTTTTTCGCCGAAGTTCAGAAGTTTTCTTGCTTTTTTCTATACTTTTCCAAGCATCTGTTGGCTATGTTTTGAGTTAACGGGTCGATGAACGTAGTTCAGACTCAATTTAACTACTCCATGTGCCCATTGTTTCGTGGCTTAATTGACAAATGCGTCATTTTTTCAAGGTTTATTTCACTGGAAAAAGCATCAGCGTTCGAATACGGAATTAGGTTTTTTCATAATCAATCACTTTGATTTAGAAGATATGATAATTTAGCAAAATGGATAAGTGAAATCTCGCCGGTTCAATGTATGCAGAGTCTCAAAAGTTTTAATGGTGTTGAAACTTTTGAACTCTTCGATATATTTCCGACGATCACAGAGACACGGAACCCCAAAATTCTGTGACAGATGTTTCTTTGCAGAAATAAAACAGTGTTGAATTTAGTGACAGATTCAATGACCCAGGCTATGTTTTATTTGGTTAAAAAACTTAGGGTTGGCTACATACGACGATTGTTCATCGGAGCATTGGGTATAACTAAAGTTTTAACTAGGATAGCCGGTTACTGTGCAATAATTTGATACATCTTGTTTTTTTTTTCAGCAGTTCAGAGTTTTTTTGACTATTTTCAAAAAAAATCCACAATTGTCTTGTAAGTTGTTCGAAGTTCAGCTTCGCCTCTGTGTATCAATTTACAGTACCGATTTAAAATTTAATGGGAGAACACCATTAGGCTAGCACAGTCCATTCTCAGATGACTCATTGAGCAGAGAACAATTATACAATTTACTTCTTAGATCCAAAGGATCGTTTTGTTGGTAAAAATTGTTTAACTTACACCTCTTTATACCCTCCTTTCTATCTTCTTAGTTTTTTTGTTACAGTTTTTTTCGTTATCTTTGGTCGTTTTTTAAAACCAGAAGCTAAAACACACCAAAAAAAACTTCTACAGATTCAACAAAAAAACTCTCAAAGCATATCTATAAAATTAGTTTTCAGAAGCTTTAGGTAGCTTTTCCAAAAAACGCGATCAATTGAATCAGAATTTCTCCAAAGAAAAACGGACACAATCGGCAAAAATTTTGCAACAGTATTTAGTGTTTTCCTAATTTTAGTTCCAATCGCATTTCTTTTCTTTTTGTAAAAATTGTATTTAACTCCTGTTCGGTTATGGCATCTCTCAACGATGAAGAATATTATGCATTGAGTCCTGCGCTTTTAAAAAATTATTTCAGCTAATTTTCTGATTTTTATTTCAGCAATAAAAAATTAGTTGTCAAAGTTTGCATAAACTAAAGTTCGTTATTGTATGATTGGGCAAAAAAACTTTCAGGTTCATCAAACGAGGCCATTTCTGCCAACGTCACACGACGCATTGCCCAGTGCTCAAAGACGTAAGTGCGAACCTTGGAGAGCCTTGCTTCGGCAAACGTAAGCCTTGGGGGTCACTCGACATTTTTGCATTGCGCTTGCCATGTCTCATTACGACCTTGAAAGCCACCAGACTATTGTCATTAGTAGTATTGCAGGTCTTCGGATAATGACGAATATTGGTACAACTTTCTGTGTTAGTGGTAATCAGGCGTGGGGGACTGTGTTCTACAGAATCCCCTGATGATTGTTAAAGCTATTTGTGGAAAATGGGCTGTTCCGAAGTTGTCATCAATGGTTACCGCCTCAATGTTTTAAGCGCTGTGGATCCTATGATGTTATCTCAGGAAGAATTCTTACCCGGTGAATTTAAAAAGCTCTGATTCGTAATGTGGGTAGCTAGGCTCCCTTGCTACCCTTAAAGTATAGTGCTTCTTGGTGAAACTAACACTCAGTTATGGCCATTTATGGCTATGAGAATACTGCGGACCCAAAGGTTAAGTATTTTTGGTGGCCAGGAGCGCAAAAACCAGCGCCCACCTATCTATGCTTTACTTGCAAGAGCTCGTTGCAAATTGCAGCGCGCGTGCCATGTGAATCACCAATTATATGATTTCTGGGCACCATTACCAGAGCGCCACAATGTCACAAGTTACAGATCAAGGATGTGTAACAAAGCCCTACCTCATACTTATGCAGCTGTGGCTATTAAACTGTCCACACAAACACAAGAAATAAAAAAGCCGCACTTGACAACTGAACACATCTGCTCGAATCGCTTTACATTGGTTATAATAATTGCCAGCGACTATTTGGAGCTTTTGTTAATGCAATCATTTGTCGCCATGTCATAATAGTGGAACCACTGGAAAAAATGACGTGGCGCAGATAATAGAATAATTTAAACCAGGAGTAATTTGGCCACTAAATGAATTACAAACGCAGAAGTTTACGACGTTTACAAATGAAAAGTCACTGATGGCTCAAAAAAGCAACATCAAGACATGTTAAGTCATTAACAAATGTCTTTCGAGCTCAGTCGAGTTTTCCTAGCCATAGATATAAATGTTGACACCAAAACTCAGAGTCACTGTGTTGGTTCGTTTTTTTTTTCATGAACCCGCTAATGCTTTTATTTCACTTACCCCAAATCTACAAACAAAATGTGTTTTGCAAAGAAAATTCAATCATATATCAAGAACTCTGTTTAAAATAGAATTAAAAATTTCATAAAAAAACTGTTCAAAATAAAATTTGGTCAAAAAACCATTGCGAAGTTTGTTTCTACAATGGTTAGCTTCTCAGTTTCTGGTCTGACACAATTAGTAAGAAGCCTTCAGAATTCTTCGACTCTGTGCCGCAAACCATATTTGAAAATGTTCTTCTTAGCTTCGTCGAGCAATGAGTTTTCAGCACATACACACACCAAAGTATCCTTGTACATCGGTTCATATTCACGCAAAATATCCCGGAGATTCATTCGTCCATTCGTCACAGCCATCTTGGAAGCTCTGTCTTCACCTGTGTTTTTCGGTTCGTATTTCTGCACGCCAGTGTAAAATATCAAATGTCGACATAGCTTGTGGTTATTCTGTTTGCGGATTAGATCTTTGTAAAGGTCGATCATAGCGGGTTCTCTGGCCGAGTAGACCAAAGTTGTCTGATGAAGTTTCGATTCGCTTTGCTTTTCCTCCGTTAATGGTCTGTTGTTTCGCTCGTAGTCATCTGAAACACAGCAAATTATTTATTTTTACCAACTTTTCCGCATTTAAGGAAACAAAACAGAAAATCATCGAAAATAATCCATTCCATCCAAACAAATAAATTTTTTGAAAAATCGATTTTTAGAGTCCGAGATCACGTAAATTTGAAGAATTTTTCAACATATCTTTTTCATATAAAGGGTAACCTGACCAGCTTATCGGTAACCTGACCAGCTTATCGGTAACCTGACCAGCTAACTTTGCGTAACCACTGCAAGGTGCCTACTTTCCATTTAACATTAAGGCTTTTTCCTCAGATAAAATTCTTAACTAAAATAAAATTTTTAACAGCTTATCGGTAAATTAGGTATAAAAATTGACAATGTTAACAAAGAAACGAATATTGTATGCATAATTTTTGTAATTTATCAAGATTTTTTAATACAATCAAAATGTAATGAAATTATTCAAGCAATGGATAATTTATTCATTTTCGTGTTATTTTTGACGATTCTGATAATTTTTTTTTTCATTTAGCCCTTATTGATCAATAAAAGTCGGTATTTTTCGGTTTTTCTGCACGTCGACCATTGTTATTTTTGCTCTGCCTTCAAAATAATTTTTTTCAGTTCCAGAAACTTTAAAATAAAAAATGCGATTTCTTTCTGCGAGCTACTTTCTGTAAAAACAAGCCGTGAATAATGTGCCTTGAAATTGCCCGGTAAAATTATGAACTCGCTTGTTTGCTAAAACAATTCAATGGCACTCAGCTTCTCGCGCTACTGGCAAATATAGTCGATTCAGGTACTGATTGATCATTGTTGACTAATTGTGGGACCAAAAAAATCTTCTGGAAAAATTCATTACATCCGATTGTAGTGCTGATTTAAATTATACGGACAAAATGAACAAAACTTGAACTTTCAAACACATTTTTCTCAATTTGGATTAAAATTAGACAAAAAGTGAAAAGAACAAAGCTGCTTAGAGTTTCATCAGAATTACTGTGGTGCAGTTTTTTCTCCGAAACTCTCAACCAAAAAAAAAAATTTTAATTAATCAAAAATTACGCTGAAATTACTTTGTTAATTGATGAAAAATATATATCACAAGAAGCCTTTTACTAAACGAGTAAAATCTCCAAAGACCTGTATAAGAGAAAATATTTTTGCTTGATAGTCAAGAAATGTGATTTTTACTTTATAAAACACAAAATCTTTGCTTGAAAACAAATTTTAAACAGTTTACTCAAATTTTCTAAGATTCAACTCTTCTAGAACTTTGTTGGGCTGTGTGATATATATTTCGGAGGCTTCTT